GCGTCATGGTGGGTATGGGGCAGAAGGACAGCTACGTGGGGGATGAGGCGCAGAGCAAGAGAGGCATCCTGACTCTCAAGTACCCGATCGAGCACGGCATCGTCACCAACTGGGATGACATGGAGAAGATCTGGCATCACACCTTCTACAACGAGCTGCGTGTGGCCCCCGAGGAGCACCCGGTGCTGCCGCAGGTACCGTGTCCGTGCTCTGAGTCCTCTGGCTCACTCCTTCATAATCCTTCTCTGTTACACTGTTACATCCGATCCTCAATGATTTTTGTTCTTTTTTTTTTTTTTTTTGTTTGTTTCTCCCAACATTTTCAGGGTTCTGTTCTCCTGGCATTTCTCCCCTGACGCCTCAGGTTCTTTCATTTGTGTTTCTGCCTGCATCCTTTGGCTTTTCTTCCACACACGGGTGTTGCTCTGCATGCCAGCATGTGTGTTCTAACACGAGTGCACACACACCACCTCGGGGCTCGCTGCTCACTGCCTCTTTTTTCCCTGCAGATCATGTTTGAGACCTTCAACACTCCGGCCATGTACGTGGCCATCCAGGCCGTGCTGTCCCTCTACGCCTCTGGCCGTACCACAGGGATTGTAATGGACTCTGGGGACGGTGTGACCCACACTGTGCCCATCTACGAGGGCTATGCCCTGCCCCACGCCATCCTGCGCCTGGACCTGGCTGGATGTACGTGGCCATCCAGGCCGTGCTGTCCCTCTACGCCTCTGGCCGTACCACAGGGATTGTAATGGACTCTGGGGACGGTGTGACCCACACTGTGCCCATCTACGAGGGCTATGCCCTGCCCCACGCCATCCTGCGCCTCGACCTGGCCGGGCGTGACCTCACTGACTACCTCATGAAGATCCTGACAGAGAGAGGCTATAGCTTCCCCACCACGGCCGAGAGGGAGATCGTGAGGGACATCAAGGAGAAGCTGTGCTATGTGGCGCTGGACTTCGAGCAGGAGATGGCCACGGCTGCCTCCTCCTCCTCTCTGGAGAAGAGCTACGAGCTGCCCGATGGGCAGGTCATCACCATCGGCAACGAGAGGTTCCGCTGCCCTGAGGCACTTTTCCAGCCCTCATTCCTGGGTAGGTTGGCGTGGGAGATATGGGTTTGCAGGGTGTGGGGTTGGGTGGGCACAGGGAGGGGCTGGGGTGGGATGGTAAAGGGGGTCCTAGGTTGGCACTAAAGGTTCTTGGGTGGGTGCTAAGGAATCCTTGGAGGTACAAAGAAAGGTCCTGGGTGGGCACTTACGGAGGATGGTGGATGGATACTACAGAGGTTTTGGGTAGTATGAACAAGGTCCTGGGTTGCACTAAAGGGGTTGGGGATAGTACTAACCATGTTCCTGCATGGGCACTAAAGGAGATTGGTGGTACTGACCATGCCGTGGGTGGACATTAGTGAGGTCCTGGGTGATACTAATGAGGTTCTGGGTGGCACTAATACATTGGTCTGTTTCTCCCTTAGGCATGGAATCCTGTGGCATCCACGAGACCACCTTCAACTCTATCATGAAGTGTGACGTGGACATCAGGAAGGACCTGTATGCCAACACAGTGCTGTCTGGAGGCACCACCATGTACCCTGGCATTGCTGACAGGATGCAGAAGGAGATCACGGCGCTGGCTCCCAGCACCATGAAGATCAAGGTGGGCACAACCCCCGGGGAGGTGAGGGGAAGGGAAGGTTAGGTTGGATCACTCTGACAATGCTCTCCCTTTCTTCTCCACAGATCATTGCCCCTCCGGAGCGCAAATTCAGTGTGAGTCGGTGGCTCCATCCTGGCCTCCCTGTCCACCTTCCAGCAGATGTGGATCAGCAAGCAGGAGTACGACGAGTCTGGGCCCTCCATCGTGCATCGTAAATGCTTCTAAACGGACTGCGTGCGCCGCCGGGCCCGGGCGCTCTCACACCTCATGCCAGCCTCCTGCAACTGGAATAAGCCTTTTCCAAATGAATCCTGCCCTTGGGAAGTCTGTACCTGATGTTAGGCACGGGGATGGCCTCGCTCTCGCGCGCTCTGACCTTGTTGTAGCCGAGTTAGGTGGTCCCTGAGCTCATACCCTGTACGGATCGGCCCCCCCGGGGCTCCCCCCACACTGACAGCGCCCTGGCTCCGCCCTGTACAGGGTATGTGGAGCCACTCTTGGCCCTGCATCCCATGGAAAATATTCCAGGTTTCCTGTAGAGGCTGGTAGGAGTCCATCAAGAATTTTTTTCACCGTTTCTAGCAAGGTTGGGAATAAAAACATATCACATCCGAGCCTTACTCCTTCCCCATCCTCATCCTCCCTCTCCTTCCTGATGCCACCACGGGGCTCGAGTTCCTCAACTCTGAGTTGCTGAAACTCTGCATTTACACCTGTAAATTTCTGCATTGTTTTAATTTATGTCAGATCTTTTTTTTTGGGTTTTTTCTTTTTTTTTTTCCTTTTTTTTTGTACGTTGCCTTAATGTTTCTCACGTGGAAAAACAACAAACACAAAACCAACGAACCAAAATTTGTTTCGAAATCATCATCCGACAAGTTGAGAAATTGTAATGCCCAACAGAAACACTTCATTGTGTAAGGAAAAATAAAATTAAAAAAGCTGCAGTAAATCCAGTTGGGATTGGGGAGGGGAGAGGGAGGGGCTACCCCAGGAAGCTGGGGTGGGGCTCAGGGCTAAAAATAGGTGGTGGTAAGGGATACTCCAGGATTTGGATCCAGTCCCACAAGCGCTTGGGCTGCTCCTAGTCCTGTCCCTGGAATATAAAGGATGCTTCTCACCAGCCCAGCCCCTACCTTGGGCATTTCAGCACTTCCTCACTTGGGGACCATAGTGATGTCCATGGCATTGGGGTGTTGGGTTGGGTGTGTTCCAGGGGCACCTCGTGATCCCAGGGTGGGATTCACACTCTGGGCATTGAGGGTAGGTGGGGTTTGCTCCAGGAGCACTCAGGGTGGGAGGGATTCACTCCAGGGACCCTCCCCAAGCCCCCGGACTGCAGGTGACCTTGGGCACAACGGGTGGCTGTGAGTGCCGAGGGAACACAACGCCTCATCACCCGGGTGGGGCTCAGTGCTGTAAGGACCGTCAAGGTCACTGTCCCTTCTGTGCCAGGGACACCCCATGTCCCCTCAGTGATTTGAGGGTGCAGGGACCCCTAGTCATGGCTGTGTGAGCAGTGCTGGGCAGATAGGGCCAAGAGTCAGGCCCAGCATGGGTGGGGGGGCCCTGGGTGCCCCCAGTCCCGAGGGTCTCCCCAGCTGCCATGGAGGGTTCTGGGATCTCCCCTCAGCAGCTGCCCTTGCTCACTGCCCAGTCCCCACAGCTGTCTGTCCATCTGTCCATCCATCTC